GGGGAGGTGGGTGGGTGAGTTTTTAAGTTTTGTTGCATAACAAGTTAAAAATGGAATTTTATTGTAATGTCTTTCAGGGCTGGACAGATGGATATAGAAGAAGACCCTTACCACTCAAAGCTATTGAAGGTCCAGACCAGGAGGTAGGTAGTCTGAATAAATCTAGCTATTAAATCTAAAAAGGAGGATTCATCCACAGCATGGACATACAGTAAAGGTCATAAAGTTGTTCCTTAGAGTTTGGTTTACTCTTCCCACCCTTTCATTTTATTTCCATAACTTCAGTTTCTTTCGTTTTATCTTTATTTTATTGTATCAATAATAAAAATAAATCAAAATCTAGTCACCACCTAAAGTACAGCATTGGTGCAGCTCAAAGGGGTAGAACTGAAGCAACAATAGAGGTTTTGCACCACCACGCGACGGCAGCCATGTTAGATGGCAGGAATAATACAATCGTTTTACATGAGAAAGAATTCAATTCCCGAGAGCAAAGGGATTTTATTGTTCTGCCATCTAACCACAGGCAGCCCAAGCTGCATTATACATTATACATTATACATTATACGTGATAGTACAAGGCCTCTATACCTAGTTCTATCTGTAACCCAGTAATATAAAAATCATTCTAAGGCCCCGTCCACACTATACCGGATAAATTTGAATCCCAATTTTTATTTATTCGGTTCCATTTCGAAAATTCGTTTTCGGTGAAGAATTGTTCTGGATTCGCCCGGACTAGTGTGGACGGTAGGCTTAACCGAATAAATAAAAATTCGAATTCAAATTTATCCGGCATAGTGTGGACGGGGCCTAATATTTCATTCCATTTCTTTTCCTTCCCTAATTATATTTTTATTTCATTTCATTTGCTTCTATCTTTCAATACAGATGCAAGGGCCTATCCCTAGCCCTGTCAGTGACTTAAAAACTGTGCACAAATTTGTCATACAAAACGGGAAAACACGAGTTACATCTGAGGTAAGGATTAGAGTAATCAAGGACAGTGTGGCGATACTCCACGGCCCAAATCCAATTTCTTATTATCAAACGAAGAATTTTATTCTCAAGGGAATGACACGTGGTCTGAAATGGGAAAACATCACGTCCAAGAGGATTTAGTCCATTACTAACACTTTTCCAATATTTTTTTAATAGGATTATCTTGATTTTAAACAGCACTATTGTCTTTCATGGGGAAGGTACGTACTTATGGTGACCTTGTGACCATTTAACCGGGAAAAAAAACGGAAAAAAACAAATGATATGTGTCATTCCGATCGGAAAATTACGCAAAACTCGGTGTTCTTTTCCCGCTCTTTTTGGTTCTTCCGGTCAACGCGTGTATCATTTGTCGGAAGTCAAAGTTTCCCGCTCTTTTCTTACCATTAGCAAACGAATTTCCAACCAGAATTGAGGCAACGCTGACGAACACTGTTCAAATTTGCGGCGAATAAAAAAGACATATCAACCAACCCCCCCCCCCCCTCCTCCGTACTTCGCTGTTCTCCTACGTCTAACACTGAAACCCCTCAAGGTCTTATTTGCAGTATAGCTGATACCAACTATCTATTTTCCTTTTAGTATTCTCACCTTAATAATCAAGCTTGAAGAACTAATGACCAACTACAGTGTACCCATCGCATTCATCGATGGTGATCGGCTTGCGGACCTTGCGCTGGTCTTTGAATTGGAGCAACAACCCTCTTTAGAGGTTTGTATTTTACAGACGGTGTGAGAAATGCTGCTTGAAACCTTGCCGCACCTCGTGTGAGAACCGGGGGTCCCCACCATTTACCCGGAAAACTGGAAATTCCAGTTAGAAAACAAAGGGTATGTGTCATTTCATTGGGAAAATTCCTGGAAACTAGGACTTCCAATTGAGTTTTTTTATTTTTCCCGCCCTTTTCTGTTCTTCCAGTAGACGCGTGTACCATTTGTCGGAAGTCACATTTTTTCTACTTTTTTCTTACAATCCTCCACTTCGCTCCTCTTGGAATTCAAATGCTCGATATAAAATGCAAAATCGAAGAATTATGTAGACTACGGTATTTCTGGGTCTTTGAATCTCATTATCTTCTGCTGCTCCAAATAGTGATCAAACACATAAACGTTCCTGACCAATCATTTCGTTTGAAAATGACCACGTGGTACAGAAAAATCAATCACGTGGTACAGATTTGTGGGCTCTGTTTTACCTAGTTTTCCATAATGTATTAATCCAACTTATTTTCTTTCTTTGCAGCATTTCTTGACATGTATATTAAACGGTGATGATGTTGAAAAGATAATCAAAACACCGGTAATGATCACGTGACTCTTTTCTTCGCTTTACAGTTGATTTCATATGGCACGGTAAAAAAAATTGACAAAATCTTTGAACCAATCACAGAGCGCGAGATCACAGTTCATCCAATAATAATAGGCATCGGCACGCGCACGGCACGTAAGGCATACGCAATATATCAACAAAGCCAAATTACTGTAGCGATCGACATAGTCCAAGACGTCCGGGTTTTTTGCTTCCATCAATTAAAAAAACTAACTTAAACCGTTGGAAATTATATTGACGTAAGCCAAAAATTCAGACGTCTCGAAATATAGCCAGTGACTGACCTGACCCGACCTGACCCGACCTGACCCGACCTGACCCGACCTGACCCGACCTGCCAGTATTATGTGACTTCCAAACTGAAATACTTTTTCTTGATATCCAGGGAAGGAGATACCTCGGTCCAAGAGGAAGAGAAATGGCGGCTATCAAGATCCAGGTAGGACTGAGGGCGAAACAGTCAATACCCACACGCAGTTTTTGAAGGAGATTGGTTATTAACTGGTACCCATCACCCTAATAAATAAAATCCGTCCTATTTTTGGACCAATGTTTTGATTGTAATCGTTTATTTTTGCAGTCCTCATGGCGGAGGTATAAAGACAGGACTGCATATCTTCTCTATCGAAAACAGAAATGGGCTGCAGGTATAAAAACTACAATAAATATTGGTTGAAGGAAGTAATAATGGAGTGAATGGATGGATGTCATGAAATGGGATGGGATTAATGGATTGGTGGATCGACGATTGTGGTAGAAAGAATGGATGGGTGGGTGGATGAATGAAATGAGATAGGATGGAATAGATGGATGGATTGGTGGATCAATGATTGTGATAGAAAGGATGGATGGGTGGGTGGATGAATGGAATGAGATGGGAGAGAATAGATGGATGGATGATTGGGTTGATGGCATGTGATTGATTAAAGGATTGGTTGATAATAGACCTCCTCGGCTCTGGCGTAATGTTTTCCCATTTCAGACCACGTGTCATTCCCTACAGTATCCTTTGTTTGTTTAACGGTTGCGCTCAGTTGCACATAAGAAGACTCCAACTCCAACGAAGAATCTAATTCTCAAGGGAATGACACGTGGTCTGAAATGGGTAAAACATTACACCCAAGCCGAGGAGTTCAATTCTGATAGGAAGCAGAGAAGGGTTAATAGATAGATGGGATGAATGAGTAAATGGATGGATGGGTGATTGGGTAAATAGATAAAATGAGTGGTTGGGATAGGATAGGATTGAATGAATCAATGATCCTTACAACAGTCACTTTGTTTGATGTTCGTTTAGGTGTTATCGCCATATCATGGATAATGAACTGTAAACTGTCAATGATTCGTAAACAACTGAAGGAGACCAGAAGAAATCAACTGGAAAGATTTAAGTTAAGAAACAAGGTACTGAATGTCGTTCACCATTCTTTATACATACAGTACTTGCTTTCTCTTCTCTTCTCCTCTCCTCTCCTCTCCTCTCCTCTCCTCTCCTCTCCTCTCCCTCCTATTCTGCCTGCCTTTCTTTTGGTTATTTTTTCTTATGTGCCTCGAAGATCGTCCATTTGTAAGCTGGTGTTATCATTTGTATCTCCTAGAAATTCGCAGATGATTGGAGTCGTATTAAGCAGTCTAGACGAGTTATAATTCATATTCCTTCAATGGGTAGGTATTAGAAAGCATTACTTTTGTCATCACTGATAATTACCATCGTCATCATCATCATAGTCTCCCCTGCAGACGTTCTTAGTGGGGGGAGGGGGGTGAGTCTTGCGTGATGACACTAAGGACCATCATTACCATCATCATCATGATCATCATCTTCAACATCATTACGTTATTTATTATCATCATCTCCAACATTGTAATTATCATCATCTTGACAATCATTATCATCATCATCATCATCTTCGACATCACATTATTTATCATTACGTTATTTATTATCATCATCTCCAACATTGTAATTATCATCATCTTGACAATCATTATCATCATCATCATCATCTTCGACATCACATTATTTATCAACATCATTATCATCATCATCATCACCATCATCACCATCATCATCTTCAACATCATCATCATCACCATCATTATGTCCCCTATCGAGTCTTACTTATTTCTTATTGTGAGCAGATGTATATTAATCATATATTTTGGTATATTTAACTAGGTTATGCACAGCATATACGGGATGGTCTCAGTGATATAAACATTTTACAGAACTTACAGATGGCAAGATTGTGTGACATAGCAGGTACGTCATTATTTGTCGCAACTGTCATCTTTGTCTTCACAACCTTACAAAACGTACTACCATCACTATCACCACCAATACTACCACCACCACCAATACTACCACCACCGAAAATACTACCACCGCCACCACCAATACTACCACCACCAATACTACAATCACCACCAATGCTACCACCACCACCAATGCTACCACCACCACCAATGCTACCACCACCACCAAT